AACAATTCACCTCAGAAAAAAGGCAACAGAGGAGTTATATAAAGATGGCATGACAAAAATTTTATAACTGAGCTCCTACATACAACTGTGCACAAATCATGACTGCACAAATTTTTGCTTCACTTAATTCTTAAAAAACTGGTGGGTACCAATTTATAATTACCTGACAATCCCTTCTGTACAACACAAGTCATTCTTCAGGCATTATGTTAATTAAAATGTATTAATTAGGTTACTGAACTACTTATCAAATACAGAAAGTGTTTATACATATTTTCTTTCAGTCACACAGCTGCTTTAAGGGAGATGAAATTACTTTCTTAATTTGATCACCTCTGTGACCAAGAAAGAAAAATGGTTTCAGGTTTTTTCTATTAAAATTTACCATTACTGGTAAATCTTTTGATCTTTTGATCTACATCTTGCACTTCCACATCTTTTCTCCCTTGCAAGATCATAGTAAGTGAAAACAGAAAAGGCAACTGTGAGAAATGAATGAAATAACAAACTGTAATGGACAACCTGAAATTTGTAATAGATACTATCAGCAAAATTCTTTCAAGTTCAAATGCTGACATCTTTCTTTTATCCTTCTTCTACACAGGTGTAGCTTATATTTAAAGTTCCATCCATAAGCAATTCAGTAGAATACATAAAGGTGTTAAAGCCTGAACATACTTGTGATGTCTACTAAAAGTTAGGAAAGTACTGACTTGTTCTTTCTTTCATTTATCACAGTGCTTTATTTAGTTACAGATGGTACTAGCAACGTGTTTGAGTACCATTCCAATCCTAGAAAAGAGAAAAAACAACATTTGAGTTTTTCCAAGGTCATTATGTCCCCAAAAACTTGAAAGAAAAAAATCTTCAAAGAGGAAACATACGTTAGAAAGCAATTCATGATGAGTAATCATGAAAAAACACTGATCCTCACAGAAGCTGACAATTAATGACAGTTCTAAATTTAGAATTGAGTCTTGAAAAACATTTTCTCTGTAATGTTCCAGGGACATTTTGCTTCTTGAGAGAAAATAAACTCGTGGCCCATTTACAAGATAGCACAGAACCTTGTGGCTCTCAAATAATATAAACCAAACAACACCCATTCTCCTTCAGGTTTTTATCTTCCCAACTTCATTAGAAAATTTGCCTCAAGTAAAAAAAGTTAATATCTGAGGTTTTTCAGCCTATGATGAATTATGTAACAGCTCAGGGAAACCCATATGGCAAAAGTTTCAGAGTTGAACCATAGTTAAATTTGAATCACCAGAGATCTCCTGAAATAAAATTAGTGAGAGAAAGACTATTAAGCATTTCAAAGGGCTATTTCTGCTTGGTATGATTCATGCTGGAAAACAACTAATTTTTTAATTAGATGAGGCCTAGCACAAAGCCAGATGACTTAGGTCACCATCCTGATGAAGGAAGGTTCCAGGGGCTGATCTTGATGCACTATTATCATCTAAGCAGAAAAGGGAGAAGGTGAGCCTATGCATACTACGTGTCACAGTCACAATAGACCCATTATACACTAAGGCTCTCTTATACGGAAGGATTTTTCATCTAGTTCCAGAGTGGCTTAGTGCAAACAAATTTTGGGGGTTTAGATTTTTCTGGCAAGTCTTTAAAACCTGCTGTACTTGGGGACCCAAAGGCAAGGGGTTGGCTAATACAGAAGAATGCCTTGATCAGCATTCAGAAGATCCAGTAGCAGAACAGTATGTGCAAAGCTATCACAAAAGAATTGGTTGACAGTAGGAACAGTATTGTTTATCTGGGATTCAGCAGACTTAAAACCCATTTTATCTTGTGTCATGGTTTAAGCGTCATCCCTTCACCTTCTTACCAAGAGTCTCAGTCCAACATATAAAATTTTTGACATGGCTTCCACTTGTCTAGACAGAACCGCATAGTTCTAGACAAAGAATGTAGCAGGATGTTTGAATTTACTCTTTTGGTGCAGTGCCACACCTTTACTTATGCCAGAGTCAGTCCCATGCACTGCAGATCTCAGTCCTAAACAAACTGCATACATGAGCTGAATAAACAAATCAAGACAAAGCAATAGCAAAATGTTATAGGGTTGATTTTTGTTTCCTATGAAACCCATAACAGAATGTTTCAGGCTTCAGTCTGTGTACAGTGAAAACAACTAAGGGAAATGAAAGTGTATTTTCTTTTCCAGGGTCACATTCAAAACAACAGAAGAAGTAAAAAAAAAAAAAAAAAATTAAAGAAAAAAGAAAAAAAAACAAACCCAAAATGAGTAGGACTGTTACAGAGAATTCAGTGATAGAATCATCCTCGTTTGTCATTTTATATGAACAGTTTTCAGACAGTGCAAGTTATTATAAAGGAACCTTTTTTACTCTCCCTTGACCTGACCAGGGAGTTTATTTTAATTTCTGTTGAAAGGATAATTTGTATTAAAACATACAATCATTCTGTATATCACTTTAGCCTCTCCACCTCCTACTTTATGTTTCACACACCTACTCACACTGCCCCCTTCCTCTCAAACCCCCTCTTTCGAATGAAACACCCATATCTTGAAATCTCCCTCAGGAATGCACTCAAGAACATATTCCTTGGCAACATGACTCACTCCACTGTCTTAGCCTCATTAGTAAGCAAGGCAGATGCCCAGATACCAATGCTGTCTGTAGCACATACACTTTTATATAACATCTCATTATTTATATATAAATGTATAAAACCTTGTCTTGGGAATACAGCATCAATTTTCGGCTGAACATTTAGTAAGATTCACTCATACTTACAAGTATCTTGTTTCTTCTAGTTCACTTTGTGGTTTTCTTCTTTAAATTTTGTCATGAATTATACTTACTTAGAAGAAAGTAAACCCCTTTGGGAAATTTCCCCCTGAATGCATTGCATATTCCAAAATGTCAATGGCAGAACCTCTTATGGTGTAGCAGTTGACAGCCTGCATACTTTAATCAAGCCAGAAAGTTTTAATTATACTGCCAGAGGCATCCTATTAACATTTATTTTCTATAATAAGGACTCTACAAGAAATTAAGAAAATAGGTCTAGCCTGCAGTTCTTTGGAAAGAAAGAGGAGGGCACTCCTCAATTTCTTAAACAGCCAAATCTGAACATTATCACCATAAAACAATCATGGAAGTGTTTAGATTGGAAAAGATCTTTAAGATCACTGACTCCAACCATTAACTCCGCACTGCCAAGTCCACCACTAAATCACATCCCTAAGTGTCACATACATGTCTTCTAATACCTTCAGGGATGGTGACTCTACCACTTCCCTGGGTAGCCTGTTCCAGTGCTTGCCCTTTCTGTGAAGAAAGTTTTCTGAGCACCCAATCGAAACCTCTGCTGGCACAACTTGAGGCCATTTGCTCTCGTCTGATCACTTGTTACCTGGGAGGAGAGATCAATACCCACTTTGCTATAATCTTCTTTCAGGCAGTGGTAGAGAACAATAAAGTCTCCCCTGAACCTCCTTTTCTCCAGGCTAAATAAGTCCATTGCCTTCAGCCACTCTCTCGACCCTTCACCAGCTTTGTTGCTCTTCCTTGAACACACTCCAGCACCTCGATGTCCTTCTTGAACCAAGGGGCCCAAAACTGAATACAGTATTCATCAAGGTGAGGCCTCAACAGTGCTGAGCACTTCACTGGTCCTGCTCACCACAGTATTTCTGTGTCACATTACAAGCCAGGATGATATTGGCTCTTTTGGCCAACTGGACACACTGTTGTCCCATATTCAGCTGGCCAACACCCCTAGGCTCTTTTCTGCAAGGCAGCTTTCCAGCCACTCTTCCCCAAGCCTGTAACATTGCATGGGGTTGTTGTGATTCAGCTCAGCACATAGCCAGGCCTGGTCTTCACCCATTGATCTAGCCTATCCAATTTCTTCTGTAGAACCTTCCTTCTCTCAAGGAGATCAACATTCCCGCCCAACTTGGTGTCATCTGCAAACTTACCGAGGGTGCACTCAATCCCCTTGTCCAGATGATTGACAAAGGTATTAAACAGAGCTGGACCCGATACTGAGCCCTGGGGAATACCACTTCTGACTGGCTGCCAACGGGATTTAACTCCATTCTCCACCACTCTTTGGGCTTGGTCATCCAGCCAGCTTTATGCCCAGCAAAGAGTACACCCATCCAAGCCATGAGCAGCCAATTCTATAATACGTTTTTTTTACAGCAAAGAAACCTTTTGTTTGAAACTGCTAATTATGTTTTGGATACTCTAACTGTTCTAACAATAGCAGGACCTTTAAATAAAATTCTCCTCCCTACCTATTTCCCCTTTTTGTGTCTTCTGGCATTTAGTACTAGGAGCAGGTAGCCCCATGCAGTTGAGTACTGTGCACCTGAACAAATACAGCTGTAAGAACAGCATGTGTTTTGCCCTATTTAAGCTCACCTTGAACAATGTCAAGGCAGGGGATTTTAGTTTGGGAAATGGAGCATCAAATACAAGGTCTCCTCAGATGTCTGCTTTGGGAAAGAAAGGCACTGTTACAAAATATCTGTTGGGCTTTGAAACAGATTAAACAAAAAAAAAGCATGAGGACTCTGCCGTCATCTTTTGAGAGAGATTTTCTCCCCATTTTATAAAGGTAGCAAAATGTCCGCAGAAATTTATTTTAGATTTAAATGTTATACTATCATTGTCATTTAAGTCACAATTTCAGATACTGTTGAATAATGTTTTTTGATATTTCATGAAATATATGGAATTAATGATCTACTTTTGATGACCTGTACCTTCAGGCCTGAGTTAATAATTTGCCTTGGTTTTTATTTTTTATTCAAGGATGAGCTCATTAACCACAGGGTTCCTGACTTCACTCCAAATCAGGTAGTTCTTTCTGTACAAATTCTCTCTAATCTTCTATTGGATACACTTTCTCTCCCTGGCCTGAAAGTACTATTCATGTAGCATTATTGCTACAAGCATTCCCTTATTCCTTCTACGCCATAGGTGGCATCATTGCTGGAGAAAAATAATCTATACACCATCAGTAGTGGATGGGAAGTTACAGTCAGATGATAGATAGGACTATTAATATATGTCACTAGCAGAATAACAGGCAGTTTGGCTGAAACTGCACTTAAATACAGCTCTATTCACAGACTTCTTGTTTGACTGAGCAAATAAATACAGCACATTTAAAACTGTGCAGTCACCCCAAAACAGGTAAGATACCACAGCTTGAAAAGGGACTTAAATGCCTGCCTAATAAATAAATTACATGGAATTTAAACTCCCAGATGCAAAGACATAACCTTGAAACTATGTCCTTGAATTATATAGACTCTAAGTAACATAAACTGAAGAGAAAGTTCAGTATAAAATTTCTTTAGATAGAAAGATCTCAGCTGTTCTAAATTATAAGAAATGATTAAGTCTGAAAGACTTAAGTGTCACGTACCTCACTGTAGGTGGTAAACAGAAGTATTCCTCTGCCTATTCTTCGAAAGGTCTTTTGCCAGTAAGTTTTAAAGCATGCTGCAAATTCTTTCCTCTCTCACCCTCTCAAAAAAAAAAAAAAGCAAAAACTCAGAAATTGTTTTCTTTTTTTCAAAATGACCAGAAAAAGAGTGAAATTTTCCTTCCCCTTTTAGACGAAAACTTACTCACTGAACCAGTGACCATTCTGGTCATTCTTTTTACTTCTTTAAAGTGGTTTTCAAACCTATGTATCTACCACCTAAAACAAAATGCACAGATGCAAAGACAGATAAGCTTTCAAACTTCCTACGGAAGCTGTGGTATTTTCCATATGAGAATTAAACAACTACTTTTGGGGAGGTTAGGGAGAGAAGAAAGATTATTATTCTCTGGCCTATGAATTACAGCAGGCAATTGGGATGATGCATTCCTAGGTTGACCTCCAGAATAAAACTGCAAATATATATCAGCTAGGCAGAAAACCGAGGGAAAAGGGATCTTTGTTTAAAAGTTGTCCATCTCTCTCCTGTTTCTTTCTGTTCGAATGTAACCAATTCTCCAGCTTAGGCTGATTCCAGCAACAAGTACAGTACTGTGAGTGCAGTGACTGCTTATATAACAATGCATTTACAGCTGCTTCTATCTGGAACACAGGTGCCCCTCTGATTTTTTCTGGCTAGACAGACAGCATAATAATTTTCTGGAGAATCATCCACAGCCATTTTATAAAGAGAATTGTACATCTTCACTACCACTAATTATAGTAATCATCTTCTTCCATAACAAGCCCAGGGCTTGCGCCAGAGCAACTAATTTTGCTTTTACTCCCAACTCCAAATTACAATTACATTGTCCAACCTTCTCTCAATTAAAAACTGTCTAAATGTTTAGTTGGACTTAAAGCAGAGCAAGTAATAACATTTTCTTCAATATACATCTTGGTTTCTAGACGTAGCTTGTTAAGCAACAATTGATTCAACTATGAAGCAGAATAAAGAACTACATCTTGAGGTGTTTCACAGGGGAGAAGGTGACACTTTGTTGTACCATCATGTTTACAGAAAAATAATTGGTTAAGTAGTACCTCAAAAACACTGGTTATGTCAGTGATGAAATTTGAAGTGGTCCTCAATATTATCTCAGTTTTGATGAACAAAAGAGGAGAACTGAACAAGTTAGTTATGCTGTCTGAATAAGGCATCAAAAATTGTGGTAATCTATTTGAAACTAATGCTCAATAGGCAAGTATGATAGCCAAAGAAATGAAACAATAACAGTAAAGTGATGATGGATAAATAATGAAAAATGACATTTTAACACTTTCGACATTTAGAAAATTCTCAAAGTGAAGTTATGATTGACCTTAAATTTAGCCATGACATTGAAAATTATAGTATATATAGGAGTATATCAAAAGTTGGATATTATTCAAAGAAATTAAAATAACAATAATACAAAATATGACATAATTTTTATCTCCACTTCCTCATGCAATTTCCTGTCTTTTAAAAAGAAAGATATTTAGTCTGTCCTGTATCATATCCAAAGTCATGTCAGCTTAATTCTTTTCCATACTTTAGAAATTATAAATACCTTGTGATTTTAAAATTATTTGTACCTATGCAAATAATACATTTTCAAGTAGTACCAAATTTACTGTCTCTGCATAGAATATGACAAAAGGCTGCTTGTGTTACATTTCTCTGTTAACCGGGCTAGGAATTTGATTTTTCTGCTCAGCAATTCTTAGACACACAGCGTTGAACTGATCTGGCTTAACTCAACCTAAATGCTAAATGTGTAATCCTGAGCCAGTCACTCCCAATCCCTTTAATAACTGAAGAGCAGGCATCTTTAACTCTTAATAATTGGATCAGATAAACTGCATCTCTTCCCCTTCCCTCCCTCCCCCAACTCTTTACAAATAAAGGAATTATCCTTGAAAAATAAACATGTGATTGCCTTAAAATTATTAAAATTTTCTATTTTTCACTATTGTGCAGTGTTTTGTTCACAGTGCAAGTTGAGAAAGTGCAATGAGAGAGATAGTTTGTTGCATGATAGTACAAGGTCTCCATATATTTTCTGTACTCTTCACTGTAAATGCCAAAAAGTTGAACTTACTAGCTTCTAATGGAACTTCAGTTGTCATTCTCTGTTTCTTCATAGCCTTAGTGTCCTTAGGTGTTCTTGAGAGATTAGGATAACCTTGAGAACAAAAGAAAAAGCAGAAGTAATTTATTGCAAGCAGTACAACTGCAGAGGGTATTATGTTGATAAGGGAATAGCCCTGGAACATGACAAAAGCAAATAAAGCAGGCAGCAATATACTGCATGTTTAAGAAGAACTTACATAATAGGTAAGTACTGAGGACACAATTTAATATCCAGCATGGCAGCTTTTGATATGTTTTGTGAACATCAAAATCCCATTCTTGGAGATGAACCACTGCTTCTCAATTCTCCCTTCCCTCAATACAGACATACATACACATTTGTAAAAATTATCGAGAAGAACAAGCAGAAACAAATGAAATATACTATTTTATATATCCTAAAGGGTTTACGTGTCTAGGATGAATTTTAAGTAAGACAGCCAGCTCAAAGTATGCTTCAGTATATATAGCATAGCTTAAAATTCATAGTTTAAAGAGACAATGACAGTTTAAACATGATAATATATTTTCAAGATAATTCTTCTAGTCATTAAAAAGGCAAGTATGAGAACAACATAAGTAGAGGTAAGTAGCTTCAAAAACATTCAGAAAACAATTTCCCACAAATGTTATAAAGTCCTAGAGTTAAAGGGGGAAAAGATAAACATGTAGTAGCTTAGATTTTTGTTCTGGGAACGATTGTTTTCTTTCTTCATGCCCCACTTGAAAGCATTTCAGATCCTTCAAGACTGCAGCATGACATTTCTAGATGCTCATGTACCTAATGGACAAATGGGGTTCTAGTTCATTGAAAGTTAAGTAAGCAGGAATTAACAGAGAGTCATGAACTCTGATAATTTTTTATCTTTTTACTCAAAGATCAAATCTCCTTTTGCCTCTGGCTATCTGTTTCATTAAGGTATAATGGTCTCTGTCCTGTCAAATGTTTTGATAATCAGGGAAACAATATTCTCTAAAAAGACTTTTTAGAGTTCCCACTGGTTTTCCTGTTACAAAAACCTTCAGACTGGCAAATAACTCGCACAGTGCACTTTCTTCTTGAAACTTTTTAAATCTAAAAGGTTATTAATTTTCCCTTGCTCATCTGGAGAGGTATGACACTGAAGAACAATTACATGTAAAGGTACCACATTATTTTGCCACTTCTTCAAGTGAGCTAACCAAGAAATAAAAATTCAAAAGGAGAACATGCAGAAGAATATATTTTAGATAGGTTATGAGCGAAGATGGAGAGTCGTCAAAGCCAAACATATGAAGAAATCCTATCAATCAGAACTTAAATGTTTCACTCATATGATAAATCTGTCACAGAAGAAACATGTATATGAACTTCTGCATCTGTCAGTGATGCTTCCACAGTGACACCTGAGCATCTCACCCACGTTAGTTATCTGAAACTCATGACTCTATAAACACAAAGGCAGGAAGAGATTGGACATGAAAGCTCTATAAAGAGAAACCAAGGAAACAAAAAATTATGGATCTTGTATTTGAACATACTGAAGACTAATTGCTCCAGAAGTTTGCTTGAGCTGATGAGACAAGTATTCTTCAAAACAGAAATCAGTTTTCCAGGATCTTGTATACAGGAAGTTATATTTATTCTGTAGCTATCCCACACCTATTTGGAAGTTAATCTGGTTTATCCCATATTATAAACTGGTATTCTCAAACCCATAGTTAGGTTACTAACATTTTCAGAAAGTAAGAATAAAATCTTTGATCCTTGGAATAGCAAAATCTCTGCTCCACTTGCCAAAGATTTGGTTTCTACTTCCTGAGGAGTAAGAATTTCAAAACAATTTCATATCCCTGTCTCTATTACTCAAATTGTCCTTTCTGATTTTTTTTTTTGTATTAATGTTGTCTTCTGAAACTGAGTTAAATCAGAGCAAGATCACTTTTTTTAACTTTCCACTATGTATTTAACAAATACAGACTGTTCTCTCTCAGATATTCATATTATTTCTCTCTAGTGAATCTAATGCAAATTTGTACAGTACATGAAGATATTGCTGTCCATGTTTCTCCCTTAATTATGAGGAAGTTTTCTTGCAATACATAAATCAACAGTTTAAAAACTTCATTGCTAAAGAGTTTGCTACAAGGCACTAATATACAAAGCATTCAGTGCATAAGGTACATAAGAAAAATTTAATGTTTTTCTCTCCTATTCCCTAATGTAATTCATTATGTAAACCTTTACTGTATGGCTATTGATTTCCAGGTACAAGAAGACCGAATCTTTCTTTTCTCTTTTTTTCTTAACACAAAAACATTTTTATTCACCTTATGAGAGTTTTTGGCTGTAATCCACATACTAACTTGGATGTAGGGAGCCTTTCACGTGGCTGGTTGAAGAGTAGAATATTCACTGAAACCAAAGAAATGTAAAACTCTCTCACTGCAGTTTTCCCTGTTTTGATACTGTTGGGCTTTTAGCTGTATTGCTGCTTGTTTTCACAGATTGCTTGCAGTGAGGGTGTATGTGCTATTTTTGAGGTATTGAGGGGAAGGGACGTGGAGCCCTGGAAACCACTGCTGAAAACACAAAAAACTTGAACTTAACTGTTTGTCGTTCTGCTGAGGTGAAAAGGCTGGCACTCTTTTTAAATTATTATTTTGGCAGGTGTGCAGTGTCTGAAGCAATTTTCTTCATTCCAGTCAAAAATATTTCCATACTCAAATCTCTGTGTAAGAAAGCTCACGTTGAACAAATTGTGGCTATTGGTATTTGTATTCCACACACGGTAAGAGCACCCACACTATCTACCTAGCTCATTACTGAATATTGCTTTAGAATGCCTTCAATATGAAAGGTATTATTACAGTATCAAACTCTACTCTAGTCTGCATTTCAAATTCTTGATTAAAACAGTATTTTGGGCTAACAGGTTCTCTATTAACATCTCACCTATATATTTTACCCTGAATAACTCTAAATAAATGGTTACAGCTAAGGAAGTTTAAGGCTGCTTAGAATAATAGTCTGCTGCTACCGCTTCAAATAAGATGTTTATTACAACACTAGATTCGGTATCACAAAATGTTATATTCAATCAACTACTGCCAGTATAGAAGCACCTAAGCTTCTCTGGTGAAGGAGGGCTATAAGACTGGGGCTAGCATCATACACTGGTATTGTAAGTATGCAATATTTGGACATAAAAGTGAACAGTAGATTGAGAATCAATTTTTTCATTCACAGCAGAATGAAATAAATTAATGGTTACACTAAATAATACTTACTTTGCAGTAAGTATTATATCTACTTACAGTTGCAAGAGTATGGATAGTATTAGGATCTCCTATTTTACTTTTGGGAATTTAATCAGATGCACGGCCTTAACATACATGTCTCCATAAAGTCAATTACAAAGATGTACCTAAAAGAAATTAAAACAAGAAGTTTTGGACACAGAAAGCCACGGTTTGTTTCTGCATCATTTTGCTTGGTTTAACATCATTTGCTAGCATTTTGTGGACTAACAACAACCAAGTACTCTGAAGGAAACAGTGTCAGAATCTGCATTTGTTGTGTTCCCTTGTTGAAAACCAAACTTCAGGTCTAGAATCCCTGAAACCATGAACACCTCTGTATCCCAACCCTAAAGTTCAAGCTGGGCTTGTAAGCCTGGATGACCATGCTGCTGGGAGCAAAGAGATTTGTGCCATTGCCGCACTAACAACAACAGCAGTCCCTTGTGCCGAGTACTCTGAAGGAAACAGCCTCCTACATGCAAAAGGTGGCCCCACTATCACAGGACAACACAAAGCCTTTTATTTCCAGGTGAAACCAAATTGCTGGTACAGCCCAGGCGCTGGGATGCACCTCACAGAATTCCTTTCCTCTGCACATGTGTAGCTGTAAGAAAATATGAAAGGGCGATTGTAGAGTGGTATTTGCTAGCTTCTACTGAGTTGTGGTTCAGTAATTCCTTCAATCAATCATAGAATCATAGAACAGTTAGGGTTGGAAAGGACCTTAAGATTGTCAAGTTCCAACCCCCCTGCCATGGGCAGGGACACCTCACACTAAACCATCTCACCCAAGGCTCTGTCCAACCTGGCCTTGAACACCACCAGGGATGGAGCATTCACAATTTCCCTAAGCAACCTGTGCCACAGCCTCACCACTCTTACATTAAAGAGCTTAAAGAGCCTAACCTAACCTTCCCCTGTTTAAATACCTCAATTACATTTAAGATTGGATCTGCTTCATAAACCGAGAGGCCTACATCTTGAAAAACAGCAGTATAAAAGCACTAAATCTGAAAGGTTCAATGCTCAATACAGCAGTGAGCATGCTGAGACAAAGAGAGCTTCAGAAGTAATTTAAGGACCTAGGTCAGGCCTAGTTGGGATCAGGTTATGTTGATCCATTAAGCAATTTAAATATGCATGTAAACTGCTTAATCAAAGTACTTTCCTGACACCCTTACACACAGGAAAGTATCTTTCCACTGTTCATATAGTCGATTTCCAAATCAAATCAAAGGTTCATTCTAAAAATCAAATATATGAATTTTAAAGGAGATTCTTCTCCTTCTCCAAAACAGGTCCCCCAAGGAAAGGATTACAAAACCTGCAGGCAGATTAGCAGGGACAGCTGATAGCCAAGAAATTGCAGCCGTAGGGATGGTCAATAGTGGGAAGATCATGGAATTGCAACTGCACGGGTAAATGTCAGATACCTCAGGAGCACACCTAGAGAAAGAAAATGAGACATGCATTCAGCCTTGTAACATAACTTGTTCTAGTGACTTTAGAAAATAGAAGTTAGTAGGAATACATCAGAAACATTTTCATCTGCATCTGAAAAAAAACCAAACCAAACATTGATGCTTGAAAAACTGTTATAATTTATGTCAGTTCATAATATTCTAAAATTAATCCTTACATATCTTGGAAGATATTTACATTTTCAGGAGACTTTTTGAATTAATTACATATTTTTATAAGTTCATAGCCTCTGGAGAACTGCATAAATTATTTTTTGCTGCATATCTATGTCAAGGAGAATGGTTTGTTTCAGGGTTAGCTGAGTAGTTTACAGAAAGCAGGGGAAAGAAACTGAGGTGCAAGATTTTTATTTAACAATAGTAAAAGTAACCCATGAAAGTCATAGCTTTCAGTGAAGTACAGACAATAAAACCAATTAGGATACAGCCAGAAAGGAAATCCTGATTTTAAAAAAGTGCTATCTATTCTCTCGTTTCTTCCATGATAAATAAAAAGTTTGAAATCATGGTTTCCACCAGGATAGCCAAGTAACTCTAGGCTATAATGCTTCTTTTATCAATGTATAGAGCAAGATACTTTAAATGCTGAAGACAAGAAAAGCTTGTGAATTTTTTTACAAACTCAGCCTCAGTTCTGATGACCTTGCTCTAAGCACCTCACAGACTTTGAAATGGAGAACACAAGTTAAAAGGAACTAATAATAAGCTGAGTCTGTTGATGTTCAAAGTTTAAAAATTCGTATCTTTCAATGCAAGATAAAACTTTGAAATTTACTTGGTTTTGCATTATATTGCCACTCATTCACAGTAATGGATTTTCTAGCAGAGACCTTCACAAAGTGATTGAATCAGAAGCAAGCAAAATATGTGCAAATCATAATTCAGACCAATCAAATCTACTTTATCTTTCATTTTCAAATGCTAAGAAATTTTTCACCTCTCCCTAAGTACACCATAGGAGCTAAAATCCCAGTGACTGGTCTTCCCCAAGCAGGAACCATATCCCTGAGTGCTGGCCAATCTTGCACTGAGTTTTCACTGAGTCTTGTTTCCAACTTGGTCTGAATTAAAATCCAGTGTAGTTGTGTACTGAAGGAAGCAAGACCAGCTGCTCATTGTGCATCCTACATATAAAATATACTCAAAGGCAGGATCAAAGAAATCAGGGTTACTGCAGTAAGAAAGCAGGGAGGAACTAAGAGTGAAATGTGGGGATGAAGGGGGATGTGTTGTGACCTGAAGCCAGCAGGAAAGGAAGAATGATGCATAGCACAAAAGCCTCCAAGGAGAGTATAATCAAATAGTAAGAAGAAAAGACAAATTGGCGGGCTGACCAGACCACAGCCTGAACAACGAGTCTACAAAGGAGTCAAGAAGCCGTAGAAAGAGAGCCTGTAAGTATGTAGGTAAAGAAAATGAAGCAAGACAAGCTGAGGTAGAGAAGATATTAATCTAGCATTGGAATAAGGACAAAGCAGACAAGAAGATTGGCAAGGGCGAGCAGGAAAGTCTTTGGCTGTGAGAGGAAACTCTCTGGAGTCCTCAAGGAAGCCGAGATTTGGCACTTACTGTTCTGACAGCTAAGATATGAAAAAAACATCAGCCATGACAATCCTTCATTGCATTTAGTGCTAATGAGCACCAACCGTAGCCATTACTGCTGTCAGCAACTCAAGTTCATAACTCAGCCATCTATTGGGTAAATTTAATGGGTTCCCTACATGCTCATCTTATCAGCTAAAATTAATAAACTATAGTTCTAGTGCAAGTTCTATGTGTACATGTGGTTTTAGTAAATGTCTTGTTTCTGTCCTCGGCAGCAGAAATTACTGGAAATAAAGTGAAAGGAAACATGCTTGAATATGTGGTTTTGAATTGTTGCATAGCCTGCTGTTTCACGCTGAATCTTAACTTAATGGAAAGCCTAGGTAAAACTGCAGAAATGGAAGGACTATATTTAATTCCTTGACAAAACATCAATTTGAAACCTCAAATGAAAAAGACACATACACAGCAGGAGATATAGAACGCAGTAATCTTGGAGGTAACTATGTGAATATGTTACAACTGTCTGTCACAAATTTCCTGTTTGTCCATAGGATTACCCCTGTGTCAGTGGACCCTCAGAGCTAAGCCTACAGCTGATGAAATCGCTTTGCTATGAAACTTACCTCCTAGATCACACTGAGGAACACACCTGGGTAACCTGGGATAGACCCTATGTGGTGTATCACTACACGGACTCAAGTTGATGAGGAGACTCAAATCCAACTTTATTACAATCAAGCCCTTTGTATCCCCTTGTTCAGTACTTTCCCAACCTGCACAAGCATGCCATGTTCAATTTCATTGGCCCCAGTAAAAATCCCCAGGTAAATAATCCAATCAGAATGCTGAGTACACGTTGTTCAGACAGTGACAGCTTCACCCAGCCATCTCAGACCCTCTTGCAACGCCCACATCATATGGCTCCAACTGAGACTCCCACCACAACAACATCATGGCGCACCCCTCCAAGGCTTGTTTTTCGACCTTTCCTGTCCTTCAACATTCCAATTTATCACCCCAAGGCTTGTTAAGCATTAAGGCCTCAGAGCTCATTCCCAAACTGTTTTTCACCAAATTTTATCACATTCATTCCCCACAACCCTACATTTTAGAATGCAGTCAAGAGTCAAGTTTCCTGTGTCTGGCCTTGCAGTCTCCCATTCTTATATGTCTTTGTGATGCCATTTTACATTTGTTATCAGAGACAAGACTGCAACCCCCTTGCACTGACAGACAGCCCAATATCACATATCGCAAGAGTAAATGGGATGGGTAAGATGCCTTCACTGAAACTAAGTTCAAGATGATTCAAAACAATATGAATGCAAGAAACTGAGTAAGATCTATTTCAGGTTAAACACCTATAAACAGTCCTTCAAAACCAGATTGTGTTATTTTTTCCCCACCTAATGAATGATCTCTAATCTCTTAAAACCTCAAAACCATTTGAAGTCTATCAAAGAGTGTTTCTTCCTAATCTGTATTAGTCTCGTGATTGACATATATGATGCAGGCATTAGGAACAAAACTATTATCAAGTACCAATATCAACCTGGTTTGAGTGAACTCTGAAAAGGGAACAGCTGATGACTACACTGTGCAAAAACGAGCTAGGCAACAATTGTATTGCTACAGACTTCTGAGATTTCAGGATATTCCCACCATATATTGCAACATTCCCACCATATATTGCAACAAACTAAAGCACTCTCAAAGCTTTTCATGACAAACGAAAGAGGGGTGAAGAGGGAAAAAGACCAAAGCTACATCTATACCTGTTATTTGGATGCTCAGAATGAATCTTTTCCTGAATCTGGAGTTAACTTAAGGACAGGAAAAGGGATCTTTGGGGGGGGATAAAAGAAAGAAAAAGAAAGAACATGTATTCTAGTAGAATTTTTCATGTTTTATAAGTTTTTTATGTGTCTTGATGAAAAAATAAATATAATGAGAAAATTCCTACTCACCTCTAAGAGAAAAAATATTAATTCCTTTGTTTCAGTTGCAAGCTTTGTCACTATAATTAAATGCTTTGTTTCACAAGATAATGCTCTTCTAGAAACCAGTATTGTGTTTCCATTTCTATTAATTATTCTGTTTGCATTTTATCTTGAAAAGCACAGTGCTTAAAT